CAATGACAACCATACTTAAGTAAAAAGTAAAAAGTACTTTATTTTAAATGTACTTTAAGTATTAAAAGTAAAAGTACTTGCATAACAATTTATTATCTTAATGTCTATTTTCTAATGATTAATAAAACATTTAATTCTAACTCATTCAACCTAATAGCCTACTCCTATAATGATGTTCAATAATGATGGGAAAAAAATGTCACCATTTCTGAAACAAGCTTGCAATTAGGCAATATACACATCATGCTTATCCTTACTATGTTAATAACTATGTTTGGCAGTAAACGAGATTAATTTATGGTGTAATTCTGAACCTCTTGGCTTGCCATATCCTAACCAAACCAAACATATATTACAAACGGTGTGTTTCCTATGCACGTAAAAACAAATTTTCGCGTACGAGTTGCACGATAAACACACTGCGTGTGAGACGCATTTAGTGTGACCGGGTTGATATACTGTATCTATCGCAACCAAACGTCACTGGTGAGACAAACGTGCAACGAACGGACGGTCAGATTACGTTTTGGCAGGGGAAAAACTGATCAGAAAATGTAACGAAAATGTAACAGAAGTTGTAGAAATGTAGTGGAGTAGAAAGTATAATAATTGCTGCAAAATGTAACGAAGTAAAAGTAAAAAGTAGGCTCTATTTATTGTACTTAAGTAAAGTAAAGATACGTAAAAAATGTACTTAAGTAAAGTAACGAAGTATTTGTACTTCGTTACATTCCACCACTGCCTACTGCATAATATCAGACTTGTTGTAAGGGTCCAGTTCATATAGATACATTTAAGTATCAAGTAATAATGTTTTTTTTTTGGGGGGGGGTTCAATCATTATATTGGAAATGATGCTGTAGTTCAGGTAATGACATTTGAAGTGATTGTAAGAGACCTATGATTGCATTTGGAGATGTATGTTACGTGAATGAGGTTCTTGTACTTCAAACAGGTGGTGGTTCCTCCTCTTCCTGGAAAGGCTCTGTTCAGGCAGCTCCCATTCCGTGGGGATGATGGTATATTTGACGACTCTTTCATCGAGGAACGGCGGCAGGGCCTAGAACATTTTCTAAACAAGTGAGTCACAAGATCCTCCTGATAACTTTACCAGAAACATTAATCTTTGGGTTTACCTTCACATTCAGTTGAACCATGAGAGTAGGACAAGACAATTCATCTAAATCACTATACTTTCCAAAACAGGACAAATTAACTTTGGCAGATTCTTCTATCAAAAACTCGTGACTTTGAAGTTGCTAGCACCATATTATACTGTTTGATTGCCGTATCACAACATCTTTATGCCCAACATTCAGTTCTCAATGCTAAATTACTTATCCACTAATATTCACAACCTATAAAGCTGAATTATGAGCAAAATGACATGTCAAAAATACAAATTTGTTTTGTATCTTCTTATTAGTCTTTCATTCAAAATGTATACAAAAATATAATCTTTAAATGGAGTCAAATTTTGCACATATTTATGGTTCCATTATGAATGAAGGACACTATGTATCCATGATGCATTGTGGGAATAAAACTATTTATCCTTGCGATTTTGTTCTGAAGTGCATTTGAGTTCCTGTTGATAATGATACGATTTCCTCTTAACTTCTTTTGGCCTCAGCACATCTGAACTGTTTTTATAAAGAAGAGTGAAGCGGTTATCATGATAACATAACACAAGTGTTTTTCCTCTTTCCGCTAATTTCGAGTTTTTAGGTTAAGGTACTTCAGTGAAAGAGAAAAACATACACTTGCCAGCCTTTGTGTCATCTGATGTCTTCCCTCACACTTTTTTTTCCTTCTCTCATAATTACCTACAGAATGATCAAAACTGATGAGAGGCCACAAGTGCACCAGCTTTACTTTTTACATTTGTTTTATTTTTGATGTGTAATTTATGATAATTGCAAGTGAAATTACAGGCATGCATACCTTTTCCCTACAAGATGTTGTGTGCACTCCTGCTTATTTTTGATCCGAGGTGCCGTTCCCCCGACGACTGAGACAATAAAAGTTACAGTTCGATTGTAATTATTTGCTGTGATTGCAGACTTTGCCATTATCTTTGTTTCATGTGCAAATGTGCCGGCTCTACCTGTTTGAATTTTAATACGAGCCGAACAGCTGTAAATTAGGTTTGAAGAAAGAAAGGATATGGAGGTAATTAAGAAGGGTTTTTTTTTCCTTCAACCAGAAATTCCTGAATTAAATATCATTGTTCAGTACTAATAGCACCTGGGGAAGGGGGAAGCATGCCCATCATACTTCTCTACTGTGTGTGTGTGTGTGTGTGTGTGTGTGTGTGGATTTGTACAGCATCTCTTTATATTGCCTCTCCCAAACCTGAAAATGATTCTCTGTCATCTTGACTTATAACATCATAAGCATCATGTAATTTTAGAGGTGTCAGGGGTCCTATTTTATTCCATTGGAAGCTGGAATAGATATAATGGTGAAATAATTAGTTTAATTAGCATGATGGCTTATTCTACTTTTTTAAAGATTTGCGTAATTAAATTTTTATATTTCCGCTTTGGAGATGGATGATTTATGATCTGAAAAGGGATGCAGCGAAACGTCACAGACTCCTAATAATATCTTAGTTACATCTTGATTGGGGTCAAAGTTGTTTCCGCCTCCTCCCTCCCTGTCTCTCTCTCTCTTCTGCTTCACCATGTGCATCCTTGCATAATATTTTTATGATGGCTAATATGCCTTTTGTGGTCTGATTTTCCAGAGTGGCTGGTCATCCACTGGCCCAAAATGAGCGCTGCCTGCACATGTTCCTACAGGATGAGTCCGTGGATAAAAGCTACACCCCTTCCAAAATTAGACAAGCCTGAACCGGTCTGGACTCATACACGCACAAAAAAAATCATGACCCACAAGCAATAAGAAAGGTTTGAATCATTCTTAACTGGAAAAGAATCTTTGCATGATCCATAGGGCATCCAAAACAGTTTCCTGTGCTGAACACGAGACGACTAATGATTGAAAAAGTACTAGAATTCGTCATTGTATATCTCTTCACTTTTCCAACAGTACGGTTTTAATTTGTCCTTTATAGATTATACATTGGTCTCTCTGATTTATAAATCCATGATGGTAATATTACCACTTTAAGTCCAATCAAACACATTCTTGTGTGTAATTAATTGTGGTTAAGAATTATTTATGGTAGTTTTGTCTGAGAGCACCACTAGCTTTGATAGTTGTAGTACAAGATCAAACGAAACAAACCAAATATCACAATTATGCAAGCACTATATCACACACATTGGCACTATATCACACACATTGGCATCCCTGTTACTGTACTACCTACTTATGTTGCTTTTAATGCTGAAGAACATGTACAGAAGCTTACCGTGCAGGATGCACTTAATTGGGAACCTCCTTGGTCGTGTGCTGTGTGTCCCACTTAGCTACAGACAAGTCTGTTTTTACTGTGTAATGGTGTTACACAGAAACACAGAGAGTAATGCCTACATTGCATGTTTCCAGATTTGTATACTGCTGTGCCATTGTTTTGTTTATGAGAATTTTCCAATAAAATGGATCAAACACACGCACATTTAATGTGGTTTGAAAAACGAAAGCACCTCTTTTTTTTTCTCCGCTAAAATATCTTTTAAGAGATGATTCTAGACCATCTGGATTTTGTATAAAGTGAGTCACCTGTGACTCTTTGCAACATTTATAGGATATAATTGTTTTTCTTCTGATCATCAGTGGATAAAGAAATAACTAAGACTAGATGAAAAAAAAATATCAGTATTCTGTGTGCAAGAGTTGTAAAAATGACTCTACTCATTTTGTCCTGACACTAACCTCGAATTACCCTAATATAAGAGCTAAAGGAGTAGTTCACTTTAAAAAAAAAGCTTTTGCTGATAATTTACTCACCCCCATGTCGTCCAAGATGTCCATGTCTTTCTTTCTTCAGTCAAAAAGAAATCAAGGTTTTGAAGAAAGAAAAACATGGACATCTTGGATGACATGGGGGTGAGTAAATTATCAGCAAAAGTTTTTTTTAAAAGTGAACTACTCCTTTAAATGAACTTTTTCCCCCATTTAAGACAAAGTGGGTTTGGCTTGTGAATTATTGGCCAATTAATAATTATATTTTTATATATATTATTATATGACTATATATAAGCCATGGCACACTGTTTTTTTGTTTGTTTGTTTTTTAAATAAGGGTTGTTGGTTTTGTGTGGGTACTTCTAGCATTTGTTTATGAAAGCAGAACAAAAATGACCTGAACACGAGGGTTAAACACTGCACTTAATGTCTACTTTTTAGAACTTTATATGCGTGTGTAACTACATAACACATTTGGGATCTAAAATTGAGTGTACAATATTGGGAAACAGGTGTGTTTTGTATTGTTTGTAATTGCTGTACAAATTACAGGCCTACATTCAACCTTTTGCTTGAGTCTAGCATTGTCTCATCCTGTAGGTATTAATTGTTATTCTGTTTCTAGCATGATGGATTTTGCCCAAATTAATTTTGATGGAATGCAAATGTTGTCGAGAGTCAATTTTATGTGCAACAATGCTGTATAAGGTAAAGAGGAGAGCACAGCCGCATGGCTCGTGCAACCTTGGAGTTCACTGCACGTCAGAGCAGGAACTAGGATAAAGAGGATAAATTGGATTGAAAGTTGTCACCGCAATCATGTTTCTTTCTATTGTATCCTCTCTATCAAAAAAAATGAAGATAAAAAATGCAATTTGGGCAAAGCCCTTGATTTGTGAAAGAGTGCTTGAAACCCCGAGCTGTGCGAGGCACAGCAACTTCACTCAAGGTCCAGGGTATTGTATCGACAGTGGTTCAATATGCACTTACGTGCAGACATGAACCTCTCTCTGTCCCCGTTCAGTACCCCGTTTAGGGAGCAATGGACTTTTTTTCTGCTTGTAGGACGTGGCTTTAGAAACCCAAAACCCCTACAGTGAAACGAGACATGAATTGGACCCTCGTTGAAGAAACAGGCAATCAATATTCAATATTTATTCTAATATCTTAGAACAACTTTCACAAAAATTATCACTGTACAACGAGAAATGTATTTACAGACTACAAAAAACAAAAAAACAAAATCCAAGTGCTGATCGTGTCTCTTTTCCATGGTTAGTAGCTAGTCAAACAAGGGTTTTAAATGATGACCCCTGACATGGGCCAAGTATGAGCAGAAACGGCTTTCAATAAAAAAAATCAATCAATAAAATTACATTTGCAGAGTGGCCACACAGAAAACTCTCAATGCCGACAGAAATATATCCAGAGGATTTGAAATGGCCTTCCTTTGAACCCTAATCTTAAAGGTCACAAGCTGTGGGTGCTGTGGCCTCCCAGTCACCTCAATAGGTAATTATGTGATTCATCAGGTCAGTAATGCTCAGTCCTGCTGCCTTCCTGCTAAGTTTAATTCCAATCTTAAAGCATGCATTTCAAGTAAACCTAATTAGCTGGTTCAAGTGTTTTTGATTAAAGTTGGAGCTTCTGCTGGAAGGCAGGACAGGAATGAACTTGCTCTTCAGTTCTGACTCATGGGCCTTTGGTTTTCAGCACTATGTCAAAGGGACAGCGACATACTTCCCTGTAACATACCTCATGGTTTCTTTTTTTTTTCTTTCTTTTTTTTTGGTTTCCTTCAAAGTTCTCGTGGACATACGAATAATAGTGGTGCTGAGATCAAAACAGCATTGGTCATGAAGGTAGTTGGTGAATTGGACACAATAAAACGTCCCATTTTGAAATGAATGATTGTACATAACAGACACTCCGTTCAAATATGACTACAAACTAAGATCATTTTGTATTTAAATCTTGATAGAACAAGAACAGATTAAGCTTGTTAAGTTACTTCCATAAACAACCTTAAATAGATTAAATCAATTAGAAAATTACTGGTTAAAAATTCATTTTTCGTTCTAAGCAGTGAGCTCAACTTTTAGAGATGCAGTCTGTTTTAAACTTTCCCTGCGTAACATCTTGACATTGGTAGAGCTTTATTCACCAAACAAGTGCGTGAAGAATCACATTATTAGGGCATCTGGTATCATCCACGGCGTCCATGTGAATGCCAAGGTCAAAGATACATTTTGTTTCTTTTCTTTGTCTCTCAGTAGCTCATATATCACTGGATTTGTACATGTCTGAAAGCAGTCGTGTGATGGGCACGTTTCCGATGGTCTTTTTGAAGAACACCTCTTCAATGGTGGATGGACCAACTGAACGTAGAGCAGGCAAGAGCAACAGCAGTTTCCCAAAGCGGCACGGCTGAGTGGGGTACCTGAAACGTAACCATTCAGTTAAATTCCTTGAAATTAGAATTAAATTTAAAAGTTAAATTTAAAATAGAAATCAGAAGAGTTCTAAATTCGAAGTAGTGTCCGCTCAATTGTGCTCTTTTTTGCAAGAAAATGATATCTATGAAAAATTCCAGTCAGGATTCAGACCGCATCATAGTACAGAAACTGCGCTAGTTAAAATTACAAATGATTTACTTTTAGCTTCTGACCAAGGCTGTATCTCAATACTAGTCCTACTTGATCTTAGCGCTGCGTTCGACACTATAGATCATATAATACTCTTGGATCGACTACAAAACTTCACCGGTGTCCAGGGACAGGCATTAAGCTGGTTTAGATCGTACTTATCGGACCGTTCTCATTTTGTCTGTTTAAATGGGAAAAAATCAAAGATAACGTCAGTAGACTATGGAGTACCGCAAGGATCAGTTTTAGGCCCTCTGCTATTCTCAATATATATGCTGCCACTTGGTAATATTATAAGAAAACATGGAATTAATTTCCACTGTTACGCTGACGACACTCAATTATATATTTCATCACGACCAGATGAAAACACTAACTCATCTAAAATGACAGAGTGTCTCAAAGATATAAAATGCTGGATGACGCGTAATTTCCTGCTATTAAATTCAGATAAAACGGAGGTATTACTTATTGGTCCAAAAAACTACTCACAAAACCTCTCACAATACAACTTTAATATAGACGGATGTCCTGTTACTTTATCCACAACAGTAAAAGACCTGGGTGTTATACTAGACCGCAACTTGTCGTTCGAAAATCATATTTCATATGTTACAAGAACAGCCTTTTTCCACCTTAGAAACATTGCTAAGCTACGTAACATGCTATCTATTTCTGATGCAGAAAAATTAGTTCACGCATTCATGACCTCGAGACTAGATTACTGTAATGCTTTATTAGCTGGTTGTCCTGCATCCTCAATAAACAAGCTACAGTTAGTACAAAATGCAGCTGCTAGAGTTCTTACTAGGTCAAGAAAATATGATCATATAACACCGATTTTATCATCTCTACACTGGTTACCTATTAAGTTCCGCATCAACTACAAAATACTACTACTGACCTATAAAGCCCTAAATGGTTTAGCACCTATGTACTTAACGGACCTTCTTTCGCCCTACAATCCACCGCGTTCCTTAAGATCACTAAATTCAAGGCTTCTGGTCATTCCTAGGATATCGAAGTCCAGTAAAGGAGGGAGGGCGTTCTCGCATTTAGCTCCAAAACTCTGGAATGGCCTTCCCGATACGGTCCGAGCCTCTGACTCGCTGACACAGTTTAAAACTAGATTAAAGACGCATCTCTTTAGTCAAGCATTCACATAATGCTTACCTTCTAGTCCTCTGTTATGCCATACGGAACCGTTTGCCACTGAAACTGCTTAACGCACCAGTGGGGCTCGACAGCCTTTTAGACAAACGGGTCGGCGCGTATGGTTGGGTTGCGGAGAGTTCGGGTTACGGAGAGTTTGTGAGTTATAACGGAAATTATTATGAACATCAGCTATGCTAATTATTTCCCATCTGCCTTTCTGCTGTTATCTCGGGACACTTGTCCCGAGAAAAATGGCGTTCGTCAGGTCCAGTTTTGTGTCCAGCCTCTCACGGGGATTTCGGATGCCCCAACGCCTGTGATGAGACGACTCAACGCCTGTGATGAGACGACTCAACGCCTGCGATATGTTATGGCGCCGTTTGATTCATAAACAATATTTATATTTAATATTTATATTTAAACAATATGAATGTAAGCCAGAGGAGAACTGGCCCCCGACTGAGCCTGGGTTCTCCCAAGGTTTTTTCTCCATCCAATCTGATGGAGTTTGGTTCCTTGCCACTGTCGCCTTGCTTTTGGCTTGCTTTGAGCTTGCTCAGTTGGGGTTATTTATTTAGTGTTTAGCAATGTTGTTGATCTGTGTTGTGCTACTTACATGTTATCACTGTGAAGCTGCTTTGATACAATCTGTATTGTGAAAAGCGCTATATAAATAAATGTGACTTGACTTGACTTGACTTAAATTCACCACTGTTCTTGCATAAAAATCATTGTATGCGCTTTAATAGATTTCCCCATGTTTCAGTAAGTATTCGCTGTACCTGGTATGGATGTAGCTGTTTAGAGTCAGCTGGGCTTCGTCCTGAAGGGCTGCAATGGCACTAGCGTTACGAAAGCTCCTCAGTTCCGAACCACTGTGTGTTGGAACTGTACAAGAAAGAAAAGAGAGACGGCATGTTTGTTTAGCTCATTTTACACCGTTTGGCCAGTAGAGCAAGTCAGACCAGCCACTAGTCATGTGCCCACTGAAAACTGAGACCCACACACTGCATTTGATTTTTAGTAAGTTAGTTAGGTCAATAATAATCATTAATAAAATTAAGTTCACACTTATATGATGTATTACATTTTTATTATTTAATTAATACCTTTTCATTAAACACACAAAACCTCTGCAGTTCAATCACAAACCCCAGCCTGTAATATTTAATGCACTTCTTGTTGTTGTTAAAGAATGGAATGTATTTAGTCTCTCTATGTATTTTATATCAATATGGTTACAACAAGATTATCCTAATCAAATCAATGTGATTAAAAGTGTTAAAGGGATACTCCACCCAAACTTCTGTCATAATTTACTAACCCTCAAGTTGTTGCAAACCTGTATGAGTTTGTTTCTTCTGCTGAACACAAAGGAATATATTTTGAAGAACGATTGGAACCAAATGGTTAGTTGGCACCATTGATTTTGATAGTAGAAAAAAATACGTTCTTAAATAGTAGAAAAAAAGAAATCGTTCTTCAAAATATCTTCCTTTGAGTTCAGCAGAAGAAAGAAACTCATACAGGGTTGCTTGAGGGTGAGTAAATTATGACAGAATTTTCATTTTTGGGTGGAGTATCCCTTTAAGTGAAAAGTAATCAAAAAGTAATCCGATTACCTTACATGTGTTGCGATGGATTACTTAGTTGCTACAAATTTTGTAATGTAATTTGTAATCAGTAACTGACAACAATTTCTAAGTAATCTCCCCAGCAGTGTTGTAGTACTCGAGACTCGGACTCGGTCTCGAGACCATATTTTAATGGTCTTGGTCTTGTCATGGACTCGTGTCCATTTGGACTCGGAATTGACTCGTACTCGAACTTTTTTTTTTTTAGGACTCGGAATTATTCCCGAGTCCACTCGAGTTCAATTAAAAATATTTTTCATGATTATTAATGTATGTTAATAAAATATTTATTTAAATTGATTGACACGCCCAGTGATTGGTGATTTTTCTAGTGCGCAACTGCGCATGACAAATTGTAATAAAATTACTTTTAACACCACCTACTATGTGGCCTTTTTACCCTAAACTGATCATATTTTTTAAACTCTAAGTAAATTCAGTAAAAAAAAAAAAAAAAGGATTTCTCTAAGTAAATAAAACTAAATTAGGTAATCAACGCTCACTGGTCTCGGTCTCGAACTCGACTCGGACTCGACTCTCTATGGACTCGGTCTTGACTCGGACTCGACTCTCTCTGGTCTCGGTGTCGACTCGGACTCGAGTGAGGTGGTCTCGACTACAACACTGCTCCCCAGCACTGTGTGTTCTCAAAGTGTGTTTTTTGAGGTTTTTATTTATTTTATTTTTTTACGAACTCTACCTGCTTTGAAGGTGACGATGCACTTGAGGCACGCAAACTCCGTCGCGTCCAGTCTGAGCTGTCTGAAACGCGTCACGACCTCCTGCAGCGCCTGGATCTCGGAGATGATTTTGTTTAGCCTCTGGGAATCTGTGTTCTCGGTGTTCATTCCTAATTCGCGAGAAAACGTGATGAAATCTTGCACTTGGATAATCAAAGTATGGATATGACTTTGTAAGCAAAAGTAAAAATAGATATTGGCAATTGTAAAAGTAGCCTATTTCAAACTTGTTAACAACAAATCATTACGGCAACTTAGCATTGCGGACATGACGAATCTCTTCCAGGCTACTTGTTGTCCTACCTGAAACGGCTAGGAGAGTGCTGGAGTCCACTGGAATGGCCCACTGCGCGATGCCCAGCACGAACAGCTCCCTCCACGCGTCTTCTAAAAGAATCAACTGCAAAAAAAGGTAAGAGTGTTCACTAATGATTATACACAAAACACCTAGCATTTTATTTTGGTTACATGAAAATGATACATTTACTTATTTAAACACGTGTTTACCTGGTCAGGTAGAGGTAGCGTGGAGAAGGCCGGAACACTCTTGGCCCATTTAATGCTCATGAAGAGCAGGCGCGCGGCTGATTCGCACACAGACTCTGTCGCCACTTCATACAGGTACATGGGAGTGCCACTAACTTCATGAGGATACTGAAAAGTTATTATATGAGCATAGAAAATAAGTGGGGTTGTAGGTATCCATTTACAAGTTAAACTATGTTTTAATTAAATTGATAATTCGTTGATTAAACTGCGTTTACCTTCGGTGTGGGTTGGGCGAGTCCTACAATAGCCTGCCGTTCTGGTGTGCTTGTGACCGTGTTTAACTCCAAATTGTGAGGCTCCAGCTGCGTGACTGTTGTGAAGAACGGCGGCCCCGGGATAGACGTGGATGGAAAATGGGTCGACGAGCCGTTCACCTCTTTATGGCCTCGGAAATACAGTGCCACCTGCTTTCGAATGGTTGACGTTCTTGGTCCTCTCTCGTGCTGCACTGCTGTATTCATATGTGACATGATGATAAATTACATTCTTATAGGATAAAAAGTTGAAATAGTTTAAAAAGCTACTGCTAGTTTGGAAATATGTGGCCTATGTATGTAGGCTATTCTTGTTGGAATTTTTTTTTTTTTTTTTGATAATCGATTATTTCTACAATAAATATTTACTTAATGTAGCCTATAGATATAGCCTAGGCTAACAATCAAGTTAAAGGTACAAAATCATTTTACTTGCACAATGAAGGCACTAAGTAATCGTTGTGCTTTTCTACAAATTTGCATATAATTAGTGTTATTACACTTTTAGAAAAAAAAATATTCCGATTTTATGTATTTATTTGTTTGTTTGTTTTATTTATTTATTTATTTATTTTCAAAGTCTGAAGTGCATGAGGGTCTAAAGGAGCCTGTTTTTTTGTTTGTTTTGTTTTTCTGGTCACATGACAAACTGGTTATTAGCATGTTCAATAGAATACACTTTGATAATAATAATATATAAGCCTATAGCCTAACAATAATATATAATAGTCCTTCTATTATATAGCCTAGGCATAATAAAATTTTAGTGGTATTTTTTTCAGTCATCCTTTTAATTCGATTTTATATATCCGGAAAACCAAGTCACTGACACTTATAACATTTAGCTTATAAATGCAAGTGTATTAGTCAACTAGCCTATTTGCCAAGTAAAGACAAAAGCAATCTGCTTTTTTTACCGTATGATTTTTTTTCTGCATCTATCAAAGGGGATTACAGGCAGCATAAAATCATTTTCTGTTGCTAACTCTTGAAAATATATATATTTTTAAAAACGAATGTGTTTACTAGCACTTACCATCTTTATTCATATTAACTTCTAGACACTTTTTCAAGCGACAGGCGCGACACTGATTTCTGTGTGTCTTGTCTACTGGACAGCCACCCTGAGGGAAAAGAGGACAGGAAAGAATGAGGAAATTTCGTTTAGCAGTAATGGCACACAAACAGCCTCTTCTGCTTTATGCTCCAGTGATCTCCACTCCACAGGTATGTGGGAATGGCTGAGTAATGACGGCTATTGACTCGCTCCCCCGCCGCACGGCCAATAGTCTCATTCCCGCCTACCGCTCTCCAAATCCACCCAGTCCTGCCGGTGCGTTAGATTGGATTACACCTGTTACACTAGACGGGGCAAAGGGCCCTCAAAGGCGCGGGAGGGGGCTCACTTCTGGGATAATCTTTCAATTATGAAAATCACTGGAGGTGTAATCTAGTCCTTAGACGCGCTAGTTTAGATCAAATTAGCTGACGCTGTTATGGTTCAAACACTTCGCCGTAATTGATTAGCAGGCCTAGCTTTAGCTCACCTGTGTGCCAGATTTGCAGACATACGTTCTGTTTCTCCTTATGCTCCTCTTGAAAAAACCCGAGCAGCCATCACACGCATAAACCCCGTAGTGCTTTCCAGAACTTCGGTCTCCACACACTTTGCATGGAATGTCCAGAATCCGACCTACCAGAGATAGAAAATATAATTAGTAGTCTATTTAATGAAAAAATGATTTTAAAAAAATGTAGCAACCCAATTGCAGACTGTAGGCCTGTGTCTATTTAAGAATATTGACATATTTTGTAAAGTTAGATTTTTTTTAAATAGGCTAATTTTTTATATTTATTCATTTGAACTCAAAGATTGGTATTAAGTTTACGATTTCAAGTAAGGCCGAGATCATATTTTCACCTGGCGATAGCAAATAGTCTCGCGCGAACAGATGAAATAGCACTTATCTATTTATCTATATTTATCCTGGATAAACAAGTGTCACATAAAAAAAGTTGATTTTCTGTGATACGGGCACAAAAGTGAAATTATGCGCGAGACGAACCTCAACATTGCACCTGCACACGGTCAAAAAAATATTTTCATGAAATCACAACATTTTTTCTTTTGTCAAATCAAACTTAAATAATTTATTTAGTTCAGATAACATATAATTTTGAGTTTCTGATGATTAAATCATTCGCTTTCATTGTATTATCTCACCTTTTCCATTTCAATGAACTTAACATTTTAATGCAACCAGGTTAGGCTACTTACTTTTTTAAGTTAAACCAACAATATGTTTTACAGTGCATGGTCTTTTTATAGGCCTACAGAAATTTCCCTGAAAGTCATTGCATCTTTCTAAGAACCAAACAGACAATCGTGCTAAATAATGCATTAAGGGACACACTTTTAATGAGTCAGTCCATAGGAATGTGCAAACCCTGGGCGCATTGGTGGGAAGCGTCATATCGCAGGTCGCATAAAACAATGTTCAGTAGACGTGCACAATGGCGACATTAGGGAGAGTGTTAACTTAATGATTTCCCCATTGAGCCTCGTCTGACTGGCCTGGTCTCGACAAGCTGCCAGCCCCGCTTCATAATGAAGCTCGACAACTGCTTTCTTCGCGCCGTCTATAGGCTCGCGGATTAAGGAGTGACACGGGAGAGGAGAATAATACGCACCAGCGCGTTTCAGAGACTCAAATGAAGTGTATGCAAATGAACTTGGAGTAAATGAAAATTGTGATTTTTCTTGTGTGTGCAGAACATTTTTTTTCTGTATTTAAGTCTGTCAATAGAGGTATATTTGCATGTATATGGGGGAGTCGTTTAGAGAAACGGCTATGTAATTACACTGACATATGTCCACCTGCTCATTGATTTTCCAGTGACCCGTCAAAAAGGGTAGCATGGGAATTCGGATATAGACCAGTAACGAAGGAGAAGGAAAACGACTTCATGCACTCTGACTTTTTAAAACAAGAAAAGGAAAGAAAAAAAACCGATGATGCATTTTTATGGAAAAACAGACTTCTATTCTGTGCATGCCAGATGTTCCTCGTACAGGACCTTTCAGAAATGATAATGGCGTTTTGTTAAAGGCTTGGTGACGGAAAAGTGACTGAAGATTTGGTGTGTAGGGCTATATAAAAAATCAGAATAGTGGGGAATTCCCGTATTGACAACAATGTAGATTAATTTAATATCTCTTCAGCAACGGTGCTTGCATCCTGCATGGCTGAAAAAGAGAGCCGCTCTTGTGATGGAAACCTGTTGCTTTTGTCACGAAGTAGTTTTGAAACTTGAAAATTTCTCCATGGTGCACAAATTATTATTTATATATTTATTTGTCAGATGAAGCGCTCGAAATTTGCACTTTTTGCAACAAAAAATGTTTTTTTTTTTTTTTTTTGCATTTAGAGTTTCTGTATAGCCTAATAATAATAATTATTGTTTCCAGTGTGCGATTTTCTTTTTATGTGGTATGATAATTGAACCAATCAAAGCAGACAGCTCTTACTTCGAGGAAGTCATAAAAGCCTGTACTGTTCCCCCATCCAGATTAGATGCAATCAAATTTGACAACAATCAATTCGTATATAAGAAACTCAGTTTTTAGAGAATGAAACACGTCTTTAACTTTCCTCTGTGGGGGTCCCGGTGTGTTGCATTGTAAGCAGTAATTGTTTAAAGACATATGGCATATTTCATTACTGTAATCAGCATCAACCCTGGGAACTGCTGCATTGGATTACGTGCAGTTGTGAGAAACTCTGCACTTAATGGGCCTTTGACCACCCAAACAGTGCAAGTGCGCGATTTTGCCACTGTAACGCAAAATATATGTATATATATATATATTTATATAATACTCTCGTGTATTATACATATTATTTGAAAATTATTTGAAAGGTGTGTAAAGCCTTCGTCAAAAAGTTTTTTGGGGGCTTGGCATTCAAAATAATGAACGAAAAGTTTAGGGGACAACGAAATTATTTCATGTGTTCACTGGTCCTAAAGTAAATTTACTAATTTAGACTAAAATACTAAGCTAGATTTAAAAATTGTGTTTTTAACACAGGTCTGTTATTTTAAAATCGTTACTGGTGAGCATTATGGGGGGAATGTGATTGGGTTACCTTATTTTTTGCCTTTCACTTAGCCTAAATAATTTTCTTGGATCATTTAGATTAGATACTTAACATTTAACACCTTTTCATTTAAGTCTAATCTTTAGTCACATTGAGGCGCACTTCTTTTTTTTATCACCAGAACCGTATTTCTCAAATTCACATTTCAAAAAATGTTTCCATTCAGACAATTTTGAAAATCCACATGTCAAGTGTGAAACAATAAATTGTCATGGAATTTATTTCAGAACACTTGCATTCTTGTTTCCTTGAAATTAAATAAAGAGTCAAAAGAGCACTCTAACTTCTGATTTGATGACACGTTTATGCTTTACGCATAACCTTAGGACCAAACTATATTTTAAAATGTGGTATTGAACAGGCTGTTACAATATTAGTTTATTAGTTAGATTTTCTGGCAGCCTATTCACAACTTATTTGCTATTGGGGAAACAAGGCTGTCAAGACTCAGCAGTGTAACAGCATCAATAAACGCAAACTTGTCTAACCTTTTCCAGGCTTATCAGTTTATTTATTTTCTTACACGTTTAGCTATCTAATGTAAAAACACTGTTATAGACTGCTTCGATTTTAGTCCTTCCTTCTCGGGGTGTTAGACGTAGGCAACAATTTGACAGCATGTTAACAAACCGATTTGAGTTTGACAGCTCTGTGGAGTTAAGTTGATTTTTGTCACTTAAGGCATAAATATAGGCTAGGCCTAAGCAACTATTTTAAATTCACTTATTTCGTAAACAAAAGAGATTGCGTTTCTGATTCGCTTTCACGCTATTACCAACAACAAAGAAAAACAATCTACTCACTGGATTTGACATTTAAAATATCCAGACAACCACTTGTTGAACCAGCAGGCTTGCTCATATTGAAGACCTCTGCTCCAAGAAAACTGCGTTGAAAAGTTACACTTTTCAGGCCCAGATGAGTCCTAGCACTTTTGACTTGGATTAAGAAATGGCAAGCATAAATTAAACATCCGATTTGCGGTGCACAACTGGTCCTCTGCTTTCTGTTGTACTTTTCTTTTAGGTTGTCCAAGTCGCTCCTCTTGTTTCTCTGCAAATAGAATCCAGATTTGGTCAGACTGTTTATTGATGCGATGGATGCAGCCGCACTATGGCCAAGCCGGTCCCTTGTCTCTCAGCGACACGGAAAGTTGGTGAAACACAAGCCAGCACTGTTACTGCTCAACACCAGCTTAAAACGTAGGCTACAGAATGCGTTGCAAAATGCGTCTGAGCTCAGAGTCTTGGTGAGTGACTTTGTGATGTGTACCGTCAGATTAAAGGTTTGCTAATATGTATGAGATGTATTAGAGTAGGAGGGCGGGAGAGAGGGAGGGTGGGAGGAGAGCCCAACTTCCTTTGACCACTTAGCTTTTCCCTGCCTTCTGCTTCAACTCCTGCTCTCGCATGACGTCACGGGGACGAATGAAGTGATATTCCACACACAGTGAGAGAGAGACACTGTGATAGGCTAATGGTGTGCTCTGTAGGAATTGATTAGGATCAGCGAGGCTGTTTAAATGACCGAATCAAACGTTTGCCACTGATTAAGAACACATTTCCATCCTCTGGGAGTTCAGTGACCTAGTGCTCCCAGACTTAAGTAAATCGTTTAAAGTATCCTATTTAAATAATCCTCAGAAACACAATCACTTTTTTTGTAACGAGAACTTACTTTCTGTCGTGTTTTCCCGGATCCTTCCATCGCGCGCGTGCACCTGTTGCGTTGGTAGAACGACTGCAAGAGATCTGTTCTCCCTCGAGCCCGAATACTGATTCTCATCGCGCTCTCTCTCGGCGTTAACATTTGAGGATATTGGTGTTTTTTGTATTTTTAATTCTGAATCAACATGTGGCATGTGCTATGTTTACTATGTGGTAAATGTGAAGCTGTGCATTCTTTCCGAGTGCACGGCTTTCTGTAACACTTGATCCAGTTCTCTCTATAAAGTTGCTTATTATATTAGTATATTGGCTGTTTATTAGTAGCCTACATAAAGCACATATTAATGCCTTATTCTGCATGAACATATTCGAAATCCCTTACCGAATAGCCTACCTAAAATCTTAACAACTAACAGCCTAATTAGGAGTTTGAGGCAAAAGTCGTAAATAGTGAGAATTGGACCCTAGACTAAAGTATGACCCTTTATGACCCTCTTTTCTGTTTTTCATAATGATAAACATATTCTAAATGTAGGCTAGACCCTACATCAACTTTTCTTATATTTATATAGAAACTTGTTTTAGCTATGGGAATTAGGCTTTAGGCAACATTTACTTTGTGTGTAGCCTATATGTGTAACATATATTTATATATTTTTACTAATAGCCATTTAGCCGAATGCAACGTCATCTCACGTCTCTGCCCAATGTGCTATATTTAAAGGTAATAGCATTTACTCAGTTTAACGGGAATACAAATAAACAGTAATATAGGCTAAAAGAGTTTAACCATTTTAGAGCTTTATTATGAAGAGAAAAAAACGTAGCCTACAATGAAAACATTTCTCCGCAAAAAAATAAAACAGGAAATTGTGCGCTCTGTTTCGGGGGGGACACATGCGTACGAGTTTCCCTCGTGGACTGAAAGAATCACGACTGTACCCCTTTGAGAACGTGCGCGATGACATCTTGACCTTAACAGCGTGCCGTGTTGTGGTCAACGCCAGCAGACACCCATATTTTAGGTTTAATTATGAACATTCCCACGGTAGCTCGGGACCATATGGGAGCCCTAAATCTCGGGCTAAACGTGGCGAACGGGGGCGTATCTAATCGCAATTAGTGATTGTCATGTCCTCCTTTAAACGGTGTTCTTGGTGCACTGAAAAGAAATTAGGATTTTTGACAGGTGAATGACTGCATATACAAATGTGCGTTTTTTTTCACGACCTTGTGTGCTAGACTGAGAAAAACAGTGTCACAGTAGACTCATACTGCATATCTCTGTGGGCATCACCAGCAGACTTTGGGCCACAAGTGATTACATCAAAATTAGTCAATGACTTCTAGATAGCCTATATGTGAAGAGCATCATGTTAATTGTAAAAACTGTGAACAAATCTGATTTGACTTTCTCTCTTATTCTTTCTCTCTCTTTTTTTAACACTTTCCCTATGTGTGTGTGTGTGTGTTTGTCTGTGTCTTAGGGGTGGGGTGGTCTGCTCGTAGTAATCTGCTTAACTCGCCCTAATCCTGTCATTCATAGATAGTCTTTACACAAACATAACCAACATCATGGTTGCCCCGGCTGCTTGCTTTCACTTTTTGTGCTTGTGACTCTCCTCTCAATAACAGTCAATGAAAATCTCTGACAAAGAACCATCTAATTGTGTATCTAGTTGTTGGCTTGACAGAATCAGTATGCAACTGCTTACTTAGCCCTTAAAGTGGAGAGGGACAGCAACACCAACTCTTATCCTTAACCACTCCTGTAACAGCATGTTGGAGATGTTGCAAAAGACTTTTCTGTGATAGCACTTTGTTCTGAGATAAACGCATGTATAACTCAATGAAGCAGCAAACCAGAAAAAATATACAGATTGATGCAAGCCAAGTGACTGGAATAAAATATTTAGGCTGCTTAGAGCACTTCTGTTACTGACTTATAGAAAGAAACTGCAAGAATGTTTAAAATGAGAACGGGACCTGAAGTATTTTAGATATCATTTAGATATCATACAAATTAATTAATTAAAATAAATATGATAAAAACACTGGCAAATATAAATTGAAGTCATTCACTAATTAAAAGCATTTTGAGGGTTTTTTTCTTGCAGATCACATTGTTAGAGTGCTGTCCTTATAGTAAACATGTTCTCTTGCAGTATATGATGTATAGACTATCTAAATATGTCTGTTGCTAACCTGTTTTGTATTTACATTTTTACATTCACCTTTTTTGTTTAGCAGAGGACACATGCTGCCCATTCTCACTTAAAATAAGTTTTTTTTTATCATGCTTCCTATTTTCCCTGCTAAATTAATAAGCTTCTTAAAGCTTATTAAAAAGGTGTTATGAGTTTAAGGTGAATGCAATTTCATAACTGTCCAACTTGTACGAGGCATTTCCTCTTTCAAGAGAGTATATAAACATATTTCATCCCGTAGCAAAGTGTGACACTTATAATCATCATCATCTTGATAAATGTTATTTATTTTTCAGGTACCGTATAAGTAAAATTAACCCCATGTTTTATTCTTTGATAAACATTATACACTCTAAAAAATGCTGGGTTGTTTTAACCCAATTTTGGGTCAAATATGGACAAACCCAAAATGTTGGGTTAAAAATGTAATGTAAAAATTTAACCCAACGGCTGGGTTAGTCCATATTTGACCCAAAGTTGGGTTAAAACAACCCAGCATTTTTTAGAGTGTAGATTCACTTACGCAGATGTTTTAATATTAAAGAGAGCATTCTTTATAGGCCTGACATCAAATTTAATTTAATTATATATATTCCATATAAGCCATTGCGGTATTCATTTCATCCCGCACCTTATTTGAGGTTAGACCGTCACACACATACATACTCCACATGCCTGTATATATAGAATTTTCCCATTATGCTGCCTACATTTCCAAAATAATAATAATAGTAGTAGTAATAAAGGCCGAACACAACCTCACCCTGTCTAACTGGCAGGTCGATGGACGCTTTCTGACAAATCTATTTGGGGCAAATTGTCAGTGAGAAACTTCCGCCTGAGCTGGCCCGGACAAAACTGGCTGTTGGACGGACTAAATCCTACTGCAGGAGGGTCGGGACAATGGGCTCTGAATGTGTTGATGTGCTGGCAGTGGCTTGGGCCTGACAATGCCCGGATTAATTGGTCCCTTGGCTGACTGATTTGAGATGGCTTCACTCGGGTCCTCTCCATGGGGAGCCCCATTGTCCTTCTCCTGATTCCCACTTTTCACAAACTCCAAACAAAAGTCAATTTCTTTCTCAAGGGGTTTTGGGAGAAGAGGAGAAATATCGAGACCTCGTGGTTCGGCTTCGCGACAGGTGACTTTAAAAGAGAGCTCATTTCTCCCCTCATCGTCTAAGTTTTTAAATGGATGACTTAACTCATTCCGTTTCCCTTTCTGCCTGCCCTCCCTCTCTTTAAGGCCCCAGAGCCCCTCCTGAGGCCGAGAGGTGTTATCGTCAGCAGGACAGGAGAGAGCATGTCGGCCTGTATGCGGTGAGGAGCCTGCGGGCACCTGTTGAGCGCGCTGGCAGCTCCGAGCCGAGCCGAGCTCGTTCTCATTAATATTAAAACATCGAGATGCCATCATGTTGCTGCGCTGAAATCGGTCTGATGTTGCCCCCCCCCCACCCGACCCGGCTCCCTGGGGACCGACTCTCCGCTTCCACAGTCACTCATGAAGGGCACCCCCTCTACCCTCTTTCCCTGCCTGTCTCTCTTTTTCTGTCCTCTCATTATCATTCTGCTTTTTTTGAAAAGCCTCATTAACAAATTATGACAGCTGGCTAAAGAAGCTTTCGCCGTTCACAGTTCACACCGAAGAGTGTAGAGGCACGAAATGACAAACTTTATTCTGCTGTGACATCAACTTTCTTTTATTTGTTTATTTGTCTCTTCAGGACAGGTCATCAATAGCATATTTCACAGAAATAAATTGCCTGCCAAAGCCCATCACATCATTTGATGGCTTTTATGTGATCAGAACAGAACAATGTGGTGCTGCTGCATGTTGATCTCCTTGATATTTTGTGCTTTTAGTTTCCGTATTTGCAGTGACACTGAAGGAATTTGATCATTTTTATGTTCTTTCCTGAATTAATTAATTAGTATTAAAAATGTTTTAATACATTAAATAAATTAATATAATAAATTTTTAATTTAAACAATAATATATTTAATGTGTGTCTATAAATATATATATATACACATATATATGTACATTTTTAATATAGTACATTTTGAAGTTGTTTATATATTATAATACATTTTTTTAATTTAATATTAGACTTAATATTAAATTTTCAATTTTAGTAAATGTAAAAAGTTTTATTTTTTACTAATCTTGAAGTATAGAGCTGTACAGTTCAATTTGATTTAATAAAAAAAAATAATGCAAGAAGACTTTGATAACTTAATGCATTTTAATAATACATTTTAACACATTTGTCAAGGTTACGTATGTACCTTTAGTCTTAATTTGACATGCAATGCCAAGTCAGTCTAATCTGTTGAATTAATATAGGTTAAAAGGAAATTCAGATGAAAATAATTCATTATTAAATTTAAATCAATCATTTATTGATTTATTTGTTATTGATGATTATTATAATCATTTTTGTCTTGTGAAGTCCATTTGTTCATGTCCACCAATTTAACTGAAGTCAACAAGTATAGTTAACTTAAAATTGATCTAATTTG